TAAGTTTTTGTTCGTTTTTCCATTAGACCTTTTTGGCTTCAGAAATACTAATCACTAATTGATTAATAAATTAGTTAAATGATGCTTTTCAACATTTCTTCCTCTTACTAAAACCTCACACAGCCTCATTACTTCCTCATCGTTTTCTGTAAAAATCTAAAATTTGGCAGTATAAACTTACATAGTACTCAGATTACAGCACAACTGTGATATTAATTTGTGATCTGCAGTGATGCAAAAGCTATGCCAGTTAAAGAAATTGGATTTTTAAGGATGCGCTGAAGCACAAGTGTGAAGATCTGGAACGGCGACTCAGCGAACAAAAAGCTAGTGTAGCAGTCGCGGGTTTGCAGATTGATAGTGCAACCACCGATGAGGTCTTTTATTCAGATTTTTTTTGACTCAGTTTGCAGCGTGCACTGCAACTGGCAGGTAATGAAACAATTGAAATGCTTGTTAATGTGGAGTCGTTTCCGTGAATTTTGCTTTTCGAGTCATTTAACAGCAGCTAGAAGAGCTGCAAAAAACCGTGAAAAATCTGAAGAACAGTCACCGCTAAAATGCATTTTTGGTTCGCAGAGTATGTTACGATCAAGAAAAATTAGTCTTTTTCCGAAAAATTTAGAAATTTCGGAGAGCCCGATATGTTTCAAGCTGCCGCCCACTATTTTCAAACAAATTGTTTTTTTGGATTATAAAACGCGTTAAAACTAGCGCGCTCATATTTTCTGAAAATAGTTAAGCCTGGAGACTTTCAGCACTTCTGTTTTACAGCTGTTGCTGCATGTACTTTGATCCAGATCTTTAAGTTTTCTAAAAAGGAATTATGATTTCCCACGCTGTGTAGAAAAAGATCACCTTCGGACATCCTGGAATGATGAAAGTATCAAGATGTAGACGCAGCTGCAGAAAACCTGTACATATCTTTCGTTTTATTATCAAAGCACGAAAAACAGCCCTTTCTGAACACATACGCAAACGAGAGAATGAATGAAGCTGGCGTTTCATTTGAGAATCATACTTACTGAGAGGACTACACGAATGTGTCTGGCTTGCAGATTGAGCAATGTTGTGAAGTGCTCGCATCTGTTGAGGCACAAACCAATCGTATTTGCAAACAAATCGAGAAAATTGATAACGCTCAAAAGGTACTAAATTACACAACGCGTTTTTCAAAAAATTTAAGGCATAGATATATTTTGGATTCACAAAATGGCGCATCCAGAGAGAAGCAAAAAAAGTAGGCCACTATTTTTTTCGGAATTTTTTCGGAAAAACAGCCTATTGGCTTGGGTACAAAGAAGTACAGTGTAAATAGAAGCCTTTGAATCCTAGCGGATCACCTGTCACCGTCGAACCTGGCAATCTGGATGGCTCGAAATTCAAAAAACTCTTGCTTTTCGAATGATCCGGTGCTTAGCCAGTTGAAAACTGTTTTTCTGAGGTTTATTCTGTACTGCTGACGATTTTTGCAATTACTTTGACTAGTGCTGCATCGCCTGATAAATAGCTTGTTAGTGTTTCTGTCGCTTATTTCGACTCCTGAGTGCAGGAAATCTTGAACTGTCCCGGTCAGCTGTGCATTGCACCTCATCATCCGGTAACAGTACGGCAACAAATTTGTTTTTTTTGGCAAAATATTTGCCAAAAATGATGTAGAACTTGTTGTTCAGGATGAGAGGCGACGTTCATTGTCCAAAGACAGCAGCGCAACGATCATTGCTGAACTAGCAAGTGTGATATCCGAGCTGAACAACGTTCATCAACTACTCGAAGCACACAAAGTGACTGTTTTCTTTTTCCAGAGCACAAGAAAACACTTAATTACCAGAATTCCACCAGATCCATTTCGCGAAAAGCTGTGATAGTGATCATCTTGGAGTCCCGAAAGTCATTAGTTTGCTAGTAGAAAAATATCCAGAGTTGCGTATAGCCATAAGTGTAAATATTTTTAGTACTGATATTTATAATGGATCACATCAAAAAATGATGTTCCAAAAAATGACTTCAGCATCCATAAGCTGAATTTATCCTCAGCTATTTACTCACTGCACATACATTATAGCTATTCGACCGGTAGAGAAGAGAGAGCCAAAAACAGTCACCGCTTTTTTTGGCTACAGAAGTAGGCTGATATAACGGTGATGATAATAATTAGACTGCGACAATCAGGTCAACCCTGAGCGCTGAGTTGGTAAAAAAAACTGGAAGATTGCAATGAAAGATGAGACCAGGAAGTAAGAATGTTTAATAATTATTATAAATATCATGACGATAGTAATAATAATTATACCTAATTATCCAAGCTGCAGGTGAATATCGCAAGTGTGGCTCGTCGTTCGCCGGTCAAAAACATTTCAAATGTAGAGCTGGAGATGAAG